CCCTGCCCAGCCCGGCAGGAGCGGCCACACAAAGGGGACCGGGGATGGTGACGCCCCCCGCCTGCATCCCGGCAAGCGCTCCCGTGGGTCCCTGGGGAGAGGCAGCACGTACCCACGCTCACCAGCAAACACCGCCTGCCTTCCAGGCGCCTTTGGAAAGCAGCCACTTCACCTTCCCACATGAAAGCTCAGAGACATGGGATCTCTCCCCGGGCGCCAGGGGGAATCCCTCTGCCTCGCAGCAGCATTTTCACATCACTGCTGGGAAACGCTGATCCAAGTGCAACCTCCCGGCTTGCGCCGGCGGGGCACGGCCGTGCCAGCCTCCAGCCATCGCAGCCCTTGCCCCTCTCCTGCGAGCACCACCCGGGAGACGAAAGGGCAGGACGCGAGGAGTCGCCCCAGGACCCGCTCTCCAGCGATGCCACCGGCCTGGGGCCAGGACAGAGACGCTTGCTGCTGTGCAGAAAGGCCACGTCCGGACGTGAACGTGGGCAGCGACAACACTGCTCGCCCCTCACAGCCTGCTCCATCGGGGAGCCGCGCACCCCTGTGCCCTGCGTCCGCTGGTACACGGGCAAGATGGGCCGTGCAATTACCAAGGCTTTAATTTGGCTTTATTTATTGTTATTTCGTGGTCATTTTCTTTTAATGAACCATCACTTTCATTTCCGCCCATAATAATTACCTATCCTGGAAGTACTTTCTAATAGCATCTCTGGCCATAAATTTTATCCTCCCTTTTAAATGCCATCATAATTCAGCTTTAATGATAATTTCCATTCCTTTTGTATGCAGAACTGGTAGAATTTGGTGAAAGTGAGAAGGAAAGCAACTCATTACAGAGAAAACGTGACTGCTTTGCCCTGTTTTCTGGGTTAATGGGATTTTTCAAATAATCCGAGGAATAAGCACAGGTCCGTGGCTCTGGCTGACTACGAACCCACACTCCCACCACGCTCTGGTCCAGGACCACGAGAAGCCACTCGCCCACCCCGCGCACCCAATGCAGCTCCCCCTCCCCCAAGAGGGGATTTTGTACCCTCCGAGCTCAGCACTCACACATATTTGTGGGTTTGACTCCTTTTCATGAGAGCCTCCCCGCACAGCTTCGTTAGCAGCGCTCTCCCCGGGAGGAAGGGCAGACGACCCCTCTGCTCCCTCTCACTTCTGCTCTCCGGCTTCTCATTTTCAGCTAATTTAAAAAGGTTCAGCGGAGGGAGAGCCAGGCAGAACTGAGAAATCGCTCATTACAGCCATGCAATAAGAGTTCGCTAACACGCCAAAGCCCTTTTAATTTGCTCAAAAAGGTGCAGCACGGAGATAAAGAAAAATCTGCCTCTCCACTGCCTTATTGCAGCTGGCTGAGCGCGGCGGCAGTGGACCCACAGCTTCGGAGCCTGTCCTGCCCTGACAGGAGCCCCCCGCCCTGCCCCTGCCAGTCACATCACTGAACCGCGGCTGTCCCGGCAGACTGCGGGTGTGCAGACACAAGGGAAGGCGTTCCCAGCAGGACAGACGGACGCGATCCACCTCCAGCTCACACCTTGCCCCCAGCCCTCCGCGCAGGCCGCTCAGGGAAGGCAAAGCCTGCGGCAGAGATGCTCTCAACCCCGTGGCAGAGGAGAGATGCTCTCAACACTATGACAGAGGAGAGATGCTCTCAACCCCGTGGCAGAAGAGAGATGCTCTCAACCCCGTGGCAGAAGAGAGATGCTCTCGCTGATAAGATGCCGCTTTGTGCTCCAGCCCTGCGGGACCCAGCCTGGGGCTGCAATTAGCCGAGCTGTACCAGGGGTGCAGGTCTGCCGGTGTGCAGGGAGCGCGGAGGGCAGCTGTGAGCCTCAGAAGAGAGAAGTTCAGAACGCCTTTGTTTTCCTTCAAAAGCGTACAGCTTTCCTTTGAGCCAGCCGGAGCCGGGGCAGCTGCCGCTGGCGGGGGCAGGCAGCAGCTGTCTCTGCCCCGAGCAGTGCTGCCCACCGGAAGCACCGTGCATGGGGCGGACACCCCATCGCCCCCAGCCAGGCTGGTCCCAGCTCACCCGCCGCCCTCTGCTCTGGGATTCAAACCGTGAGCAGCTCAAAGACAAAGCAGCGCACCACGGAGGTCGGCAGCCCCCCGGCAGCAGCCCCCCCTGGGGCACGCCAGCCCTGCAGCAAGGGCTCTGCTGACGGCAGAGCTGGGGGAGCAGCGGGGAACCCCGGGACTCAGCCCTCTCTTGGGCTGTGAAATACATTCATCTGCCTAAAGGTGTTGTGAGCATCCAATACGCTGCCCCGGGACACAGCGACACTGGAAACTCGCCCTGGGCACGTCTCTCCTGCACAGACCCCTCCAGGTGCCAGCGCCAGCGCGGGACACGGCAGCGGGGCACCCTGCGTCCCCCCGCAGGGGACGGCTCCCGGCAGAGCCACAGGCTGCGTTCCAGCAGGAGAGCTGCCCACGGGGCACAGGGCCAGAGCCATCCCGCCTGCTGTAAGGCATCTCAGCTCCCGACACACCAAACTGACTCACCCGCTCCCTGCCCACCCTCCGCGGACCACGCCAGACGCGAGCACCATGGACCCCGACACCCGAGCGAGCTCAGGAGTTTGGGGGGTCGTAACAACACAAACAAATCCCCCTGCATCAGACACGGTGATTCCCAGGGAGCGATTCGCCAGGAGACTTTGCTGTTTCCTCGTCGCAGGAGAGATGAGCAGCCCCACGCCGAGGGGTGCCGGCAGCAGAGCGGTGCCGAGGGGCTCCTGCCACGCCGGGCGTTTGTCACACGCCTGGGAAGAGCTGGAGCGCAGGGAGAGCGATGGGCTCCTCCGGAGCTCCCTGCGGGCACTTCTCCTTTTGCTGAGCAGCAGGAAACTTCAAACCAGACAGAACTGAAAATGCAAATCAGACGGATGGTGTGTTTAACACCAAGAACAGAAAAGCCCCAGAGAGCCTGGCATAAGTTCCAGAGATTCTGGCACACTTCTCCCTCCCATTTAACTGGTATTTCCTCACTGGAACCCGTTAAAAAAAAAAACCAAACAACTTATCTCATGGAACCATAAAAGCATTGTAAGAGCACAGGGCTTTTGAATCCTGCATGCAAAAATAAAATAAAAACGTTGTCCTACTCTGGCTGACCTTTAAGTGAGCAGCAGAACATGGGGTTTTATGGCATAACCCGAAATGACACATTTGGTGTGTCTCAGGGAGGTGTGGGCACGGCTCCACATGTTCAGTGTGAAATATCGCTCTGCTGCTGGCGGCGAGCTGTAAAACACGGAGAAGTTGAATGCATGTGATGCGTGCCAGGCAATGCCCAAACCCCCTGCACCAAACCCCGTCCTCCTGCGCGCTGAAGTGCTGTTAGAGGGGTGCGGGTGCCCGGCGGGGGCTGCGCAGCACAGCGGGGACGGGCAGAACCCGGGAGGGGGCAGAGGTCCAGTCCCGGGGGGGAGCGGGGCCGCGGGCTCGGAGGGCAGCACAGCCCCGGGCAGCCGGCGGCGTGAGCGATCTGCACCCCGTGCCCTGCAACAACCCTACTACTAATAGTCACTGAATAATTAAAGTCTTAAAATCACTACTGCCTCAGACGCATGTATTATTTAAGAGGGTTTTGGAGAGAAGCGGGCTTGTTTTTATTGCTCATTATCACTGCATGTCCATTGGGATTTTTACTGCCTCGTCACCTCAAGAGTCCCCACCATGCTCTGTGCCCCTCTGCTGGATGCGCGAGTGTCTGCACACCCACGAACTGCTCGTGCAAATCCCATCCCTTCACACTTGCAAGTGGAACACCAAAGGCCTGGAGCGCATCGAGGAGAGCTGAAAGTGTTCTGCCATGTGCGACGGATGAACCTGCACGGGCACCCTGTGGCTACGGGATGAGGATACAGTGCCGACACAGAGCCTGCCTTCCCCACGGCGCCCAGCGGTGCTTCCCACGCACCCGAGTGGCCTCTGCCTCGTCGAAAGAAGGGGCTTAGGAAAATATTCCACCTTGCTGTAAAGGCTGCACATGATGGAGAAACCAACACTCCCCCAAGCGAGAGGGAATCTCGCAGAAGCATCTCACAAACAAACGCTGTAGAGCTGCCGTCTTCGCCCTGAGCAGCGACGTGCGGACCAGTAAATCTTTCTTACAAGATAATCAGAAATTGGTGCTCTTCATTCACTCGGAGAACCTCATTTCCCGAAAGCAAATCCCAGCTGACTAAACGTCTTTACTTCTGCTCCGGGTTGAGTGATGAATGTGAGGGAAGGCAAAGATGGCACTTGGACTATCAGCATCAGAGGGGTTCGTCTGAAGATGCCGGGGCCGCCCTCGCGGGAGCTGCCTGCAGACGGGCAAGCGCTGTTCATCGCGCAGAGCCCACCACCTTACACAGGGGATTAAATTGCTTATTCTTCACCGAGGAGTCTCCTATTCGATTTCCAAATGACTTAATCTCCACACTTGATTCATGTGGCTATTCAAATCCAACCACATACCCCTGGAAGCGCCGCGCTGCCCGGACGCACCAGCATCCCCCATGTGCTGGGTGGGCACAAGTGGTGAGACCCCATTTCCACAGCCCGACGTTTCCAGCGCAGTGCTTCCCTGGAGGGCTGACAGAGGGCCTGCAGGTGGGCTCCCTGTTCAAGAAATCCATCAGTTTGGGGGCTCTGAAACCTTGTGGCCACACTGTCACCATTAAAGGTCTTCCTCTGCTATCGCTCTTTTTCAGGTGCCACACCTGGTTTTAGCTGTGAATAACTGCAATGCTCTAAAGAGCTGAAAGCTCTGGATGTGTCTGTCCTTTTATGCACAATCCATCAGCATCTCTGACCCCGGGGGTCGCGGGCAGGCACCCGCCGAACAGCTACTCCCGTTCCCACCTCATCAACTCCACACGCAGAAACGTAACTGCGGGTTTCCTGGGACAAAAACGTCACTGCCACTGAGAGTACAACCTTATGAAAGTGTGTTTCAAACATAACCTTTACTGAAAGCTGTCCCAAACAAAGCAAAAGCACAGAGCAGACGACAGGAAAACAAAGCCCACGAACTCTGCAAGCAGGCTGAGAAATCCCGGTGGGAGCCCCCGGAAACCCACCCAGGAGAGGCCGCCAGCGCGGATTCCTACAGTGCCAGCAACCCAGGACGCACGGAGAGAAACCGTGTTAACACAGACACAGAGCGGGGTCAGACTTTTAAGGATTTGCTCCTGGTACGCCCTCTTTGCTGTGGGTTAGAATTTGCTTGAGTAAAAAGTACAAGATTTGGTCCGCTGTGGGTAAGTCTGTATGAGTGAAGATCTCTGCCTGTGCGCACACGAGTGCTTGAGTGTCTCCTCACGCACAGAGCGAGGTCCATCCATAATTCACACCCCACGAGTACCCTTGGGCATTCGCACTTTAAACCAGGTGAGTCACTGCTTTATTAACACCTGGTGCGACTCCTCCCCAAAGCAGCAGCTCCCCTGCAAACCGCTCCGGCCGGGAGCTGTGGGGGTCTCTGGCCCCGGGACCTGGACCGGGCAGTGCGGGCAAGCGCCCGCGCCCCCACCCCGGGGAGTCCCCAGCCAGTGCCAAAAAGTCATTCCCGGAACGGAACGACTGAGGAGTTTTACCTTCTCACGCACCCGCCACAGGTTAGAGAGAGGGTACGGCAGGTAACTGCTGGGGGGCTGGCGGAGGGGGCCGCTCTGGAAGATACGTTTTGGTTTTAAGCAATGAGGATGGGGATTACAGGATTAGAACTGCTTTAACTGTCAAGCAAAAATGACAGAAAGAGGACAGGGTTAGGTGTGGGGTCAGCCCAGAGCACGAACAATTTTAAATTAACCCCTAAATACCTTCTTTTGCAAACACAGGCACGAGGTGCAGGCAGCACGTGCCCCAGGCTCGCTCCATACTCCGAGCCCTCACCTCTGCCGTCCCGCGGCGCGGCTCTGCCGGCACTACAGCAACCCCAGCGCCGCCCCACACCGTCCTCCCACCCCCTGCCCCCCCCATCCTCCCACCATGCGCAAGAGAAGGACCGTATCCCCCTCCGGCACTGCCCGTCGGGCTCCTGCGCCAGGCGGGGATGGGCATGAAGGGCTGAGAGCGACTCCCCAACTGCTGCTCTTCACAAAAGGCAGATCTCACGTAACCCCTCCGCCAGCGAGAGCGATCGCACAGAGCCGCACTCCAACATACGCGCACAGAGCGGGATCTCCGGGCCACCGCTGGGAATAACAAATCGACCCCCAGCGCCAGGGCTGCGCTCTCCGGCCAAACTTTCAGCTCTACAGCAGTTTATATTCGTTCCGTGTTTCAAGACGATCTTTACAACCAGAGGTCTGAAAATTTGTAATTCTAATGAAAGGCTAAAATGGAGAGTATCCATCGCATAACGAGTGTGGTTTGTGACACTCATTATGACTTCGATGGAAAGAGTCACAGCTTGGCTGTTCACAGACCAAGGATTACCTCAGTCATAGCCCGAAAACATAGATGTGTCTCAGATTATGCTACAAACTTGAAGAAACTAGCTTTTCAGCTCCTCAGACCAGTTAGGCTCACCGAGAAACAGCTTTTAAATGCCCCACATTAGGTATCTACAGGTCATTACTCCAAGGAACAGCTTCACTGCTCTATGGCTCCGGGTTCCCGCCTGTCCCCGAGGAGCAGCCCTGGGAGTTCCCCGCACACACGGACCCTCAGAGGGCAAATCCCACGGCCGTCACAGCGGCGCTGGAGGCAAAACAGTGGTGCCTCTTGGTGTCTGTTTGCTGGATGCTGCCCCGCTCCTTCGGCACGCTCATCCTCACTGCCCGCACCCCAGCCATGGGGCCGGACACCGAGGTCCCCCAGGCCATCGGGCAGAGAGACGCCCGCCCACCCCCGCAGCCGGTGCACACCACGACCCGAGACCTCTGCGCTCGTCCTCCCTCCCAGGAACGAGGGACGGACCCTCACCAAACATCTCAGCCCCCGCCACCCCCACCCTGGGCATCCCACGGAGACCCCGAGGTCCCACCAGTGTCACGGGGGCCCCGGGCGATCGCACAGGAGCGTGACGCACGTAGCGAGGACGCCGCTTCCCCTACCTGAATGGCTTCTGTGATGGGTGGAGGCCAGCGTCAGTCTTCCCCACAGCGTGGTAAGGCAGAGAGTGAGCACGAAAACCCATTTGCTCAGGCTTTGTATGTCTCTCTCACTCATTCTACCAAAACCAAGAAGAGACGGGTGAAGGGAGAGGGGCTGAGGAGGGTCGGGAGGTGCTGCCCCTACACACCGATGCTGCTGCACACAGCGCTGCTGCCCCCGAACACGCACGGCCACGGGGACCGGGGTGACCCGTCTGCGGGGACACGGCCCTGGGGGGCAGGGCACGCGCTGGGATTCCCCCACCGCCCTGGAGAGGCTCAGCAGCACCGGCCACCGCAGCGGGACAGGAAGAAATCACAGAGCGGTGGCACAGACGAGCGACAGTTACCTCTTACTGGGGGTTCACACTAACGCCTGCGCATCTGCC